CTACTTTTTCATAACTTTTGCTGATTTGCAATTTAGTGACTTTGTCCTGATCTTACTGATAGAGTTTTTGAGATTTGGATTATTTTTCTCACCTTAAACTTTAGGAAATATATTCATCATATAATCAGCCTCAACCAACAGCAAAGTGCCTGGAACAGTAAGTACTCCATGATTAGCTACACTATGTCTTGCATCATGCTAGGAAATGGCAAAAGTATCCTGCAGCAGTGACAGAGATCTGTATAGAGTTGCAACAAACCATGGTAAGTAGATGGTAGGTCCTGTCTCCTTTTCTGCAGATAGAAATGGGACACAGAGAAGGCAGCAATATGCTGAGTAGAAGCCTAGAGAGAGTGCCCAGCTTACCCCTCCTAGAGTGAAATCCTTACTCCCCCAAGCTCTTAAGAATACTCATGGTCAAGCCAGTCCATCAAGCTAGGCTGAGTGAGCTGCTTCACTCAAGGTCACACTCCCATTTCAGGTATCCCCAATCCAGTAACTGACTAATACATGGGTATAAAGGCCTAGCATTAAGTTTGTTTTCAGGATAAATCTGATGGGTGATCCCAGCCCTGGAGTTTCTTGAGATCAGCTGAAGCTTCCAAGGGAATTAATTTTGCAATTCAACTTCTCCCCGTGCCCAGTCCAGCTTCTTTCATTCCCTAAAGATAACGACCTGAGAACACTCCTAGAACACAAATCTGTCTCAGAGTCTGCAACCTAGGGAAATGACTTATGACACTTGCCCAAAGTCAAAGAGCTAATGAGAGACCAAAACAGGATTTACTACCAATGAGCCAGCACAATCCACAATTATAGAATGGCAGAAGGGACCAAGTCCAAGAATAACCCCAAAAAACTATAACTAACATTATAAATAACTGCCCGAATTACTCAAAGAATGCCTAATTTGTGGATGAGGATAAACGTGAAGAAGGATCTCTACTGAAACTGAGTTGATATGAAATAGGAACACACCCATCCCGCTATGGGGCAGTGGCAAAAAAAAAGTGAGTTTCTGGGGAGATTTTCATTTCAAAAACAAAGACTAATGACAAAGACTAATCGGACCAGAAGGGGCTTTAAAGACAGAATGCTTGCTGCCTTGTTTTATATCAGGGGAAAGAAGGACACAAGATAAAAGTGGCTTCATGTAAAGTCCAGCTTTGTCTTCACTGAGTGATTTAGACATTTCATGTAAAACATAAGTCCCCCCCCCAAAAGATTCATGTATATTTTAAATAAAAATATACAATGTATTATAAAACTAAGTGATTTTTTTGATTATGTGTCATCATCACTCTTCACTCCTACCAACAAGGATCATTGGGATCTGACTACATGATGATTTTTCACAGAATGGCTTACGAGAAAGGTTAGAACTCACTATCTATACGTCTGACTACATTAGCAATTAAAGTTCATCAAATATTGTATCTTAATGGCTTTATCTCAAAATGAGGACAATAATTATTACCTCATTCAATAGGAGGACAGAAAGACTGAATATTTAATGGTAACAATGCACTCTAAATGCCACACAAACAAATAACTTGGTCACATGTAGAACAACCTCTCATAGGTTAATATAACAGATTAATATTACATATACCTAACTGAAATGAGCCCAAGTAAGATGTAGAAACATTTAGATATCTGTTTCCAATAAAGAGAGCAAGGTTTAAACTGATAAACATAAATGTAATCAAGGCATCCTGATCAAATAAGGTAAGTCTTGAGAATTCCTCTAGTAGACAGAGCCACCAAACAGAAATCTAAGACATTTGAGAGGGGGGGAAAGGCAAGAGGATGGAGAGTAACCCCACCCCCCAACAACCTTAAAATATTGTATAATTACTAAACTCAATTAGAGCAAGATCATAATAAATGAAAATATCAAAGGCATTTTATACATTTTAAGCTGGCTCTACTGGGTACAGTAGCATTTTATATATCATCTCTTGCTTGCCAGAAATGTCTCAGAGTCTTGTTTCAGTAAAAGAATCATCCATATCATTTGCTAAGAGGGATAACTGTCTGTTCTTCCCCTATTTAGCCCTTTGACCAAAATGCTCAAAGAAAATTTGGTTCCAGAACACAAGTATTTTCCATGTTGGGGTAAATTTTATTAAAAAAGCTTTGGTGCATTTGCTCACCAATTCATTAGATTACAATGTTCTCAAATTTGTTTATAGATGCTAATACTGACCTATGGGAAAGAGCATTCATGTACGCATGTTCACTTTTCTTGCAGATATTTCTCTTGAGAAATTATCCAAATTGATAGACTTCAAACTCTCTCATAATGGAGCATCCTAAGACTTTTCAAGGAAGAGTTTTAAATGAACAAATAGTTTTTACAGCAGTTTTTAAGTCTTGATTTCTGAAGCTAAGTAAACAAATGAACACCTTCCCTAAAACAACAAAAAGCAGAACATTTCTTTCTTCAAGAAAAGTAACCAAGGATCTAAATTTCTACTTTTCAAGTATGCGGAGCATTTTTAGATGATGGTTGGTGGTTATCTAAATACATGGGACATATTCATTTGATTAAAAAGAAAAATGTTTATTTTTAAATCAATATTCACAGTATCCTCTTTTGCATGTTTAAACTGACTATTAAAAAAGTTTTAGCTGTCAAAAAAAAATGTCCCAGGGATTAATTATCTTTTGATATTCATTAGAGAGACAATGAACAAAAATGTTTGAAACACACATAGTGTCACTAACCTCTAATACTCTAACATCAAGATTCTAAATAAAGACCTATAGAACAATTCCTAGGCATCTGAAGTAATTACGAAAAGGTTTCTCTAATACTTTTTTTTAAAAGCTTTTATTTATGCATATAGAACTAGGGTACAGGCCAGAGATGCAGGGGCAGTAAGAGGCTTCACTGGAGGCAGAGTGGGGATCAGAACAGGCCAACTGACTGAAACACACTGCTGAGGGGAGCAGCGGGTGAGACAGGAGAAGTCCGCCGCACCATGTGGGTCAGCTCCCTGGCCGGGGATCGAACTCTTGCTGAGGCTGCTATGGCTAGCTTCCTAGTGCTGCACTTCATCCCCCTGTGCCACCAGAAGGGCCCAAGGTGTGTCTAATTAAAGAGCTATTTATAAAGAGGCTGATTTGAAGAGGGTTTTCTGAAGGAAAATAGCAGGGACTGCCAAAGAGCCAGAGAAGAGATAAAAAGATAGGAGAAGGAAAGCAGATGCCTTAGGTGAAATAGCTTTCAGGTAACAAGCAGCTTGAGTTCAAGTTCAGGTTTTACTACTTTTTTGGGGTAAGCCCCTTTGAAGAAGTCTTCCTTTCTATTTTGAACATCAAATGGAGCAGGAAAGAAAGTACCTTCTAAATGATAAAATAATTGCATAGGTTAGTCTTCAAGCCCTTTCAACTAGGAAACTTGGAGCAGTAGCATTTGTATAGTGCTCAAAATCATAAGCTCTGGAGGCCTTCCTGGTAGTGCAAGGGGTTGTCTTAGCACTATCAAGCTATCACCAGCCACTGCAACATGAGTTTGACCCTTGGTCAGGGAGCTCACCCATGGCCCAGCGAACCTCTCCTGTCTTGCCCACTGCTTCCTCCCCCCCAGCATTGGATTTCAGTAGATTTGCCTGTTCTACTCCCTACTCTGTCTTTGGTGAATCCTCTTACACACACCCCCCCCCCCCCCCCCCCTCTGGCCTACACCCGTTCTTATATGCATAAATAAATAAAAATAAATCTTTTAAAAAATCATAAGCTCTGGAGCCACAGACTGCTGAGACATCCTTTAGTCTCTAGAAGGTCAACTGAATCTCTCTGTTCCATTAGCTTTATGTATAAAACAGAGGGGTATCTACTTTAAGGAGTATTGTGAGGATTAATGAGCAGATGCATAAAAAGAGTTTCCAGTGCATTCAAAAGAACTAGTTAATTTGCTATTGGTGGTGGTGGTGGACAGTGTTCCCACTGCTCTTCATTCTCAATGTCACTAGAATCCAAGCATTGGATTTTTCCTAACACTACTGAACATTTGTTGGATTAAGAGCAAAAGAAAAATGGGGGAGAGCAATGTGTTTAAGAAAGTTTAAATAACAGAAGTCCAGGCCTGCTAGGGTTCCTTCCTGTGACAGTGAAAGTAAATGACAATGATCCAGTGAGGTTCTCTGCTGGCATAACAAAGTCCCATCTATCTTTTCCCCTTGCTTAAAGGCCAAAACCCCAACAGAAAGCATTGCAATTTGTTCTACAGGGAGTGCCTTGTGATGTATTCTGCAAGATTATAGTTGATCTTAAGATGACACATCTGCTAGAAACAATTCTTCGACATGGCAAGAACATTTTGAACTTGCCTAAAGGAATTCCAACAGCAAGGACCAAGGCCACCGTTATAAAATACCCTCACCTGCTATTAATACGCCAAATAGAAAACAGGAGACAGAGCTGGACGCAAGCGCTGGGAGCTGTGGTTGTCACTTTTTAGTTATTTAAAACTATTACTGAAAGATTTTTTAAATTACAGAGATAATTTATAATTCTTTAGGCATGTTCTTTAAATATAGCTTAATTATATTAATCATACTATATGCATATTGTGTAAACACTATAATATTAACATACACATTAGAGAAAAAAATGGCATCGCACCTCCCCTACCGCTGCCTTTTCAAACACATTGAGGAAAAGTTGCATAGTTCTTTAGCAATTCTTTTATCAATCAGAAGTTGTAACTTGAAGTTGAACTTCATGTAAGCCTTCTATTTGAGCTAAAACTCAGGATAGACTCAATCTTCTAAGGTTTTTGTTAACAAGTAATACACATTGAGAAGCAATAGGAGTATTAGATATTTGTAAAATTACAAGTGTATGAGCAAAACAGGTGGGGTAAACACAAGGTAATAACGGTGATGGCTCATGGGCTATAGGGTGGCAGGCGAACTACGGGACTCTAATAATGTAAGATAAATTAATTAAATTAAGAAAGATGAACAACAACAGCCACAAAACAAACTTACAAGTATGTCTGGCCAGTGAGTAGTTGGATCCACCACTAGTCAAACCAAATCCCTCAGGGATCTGACTTGAGCTTCGAGGTCTGGTCAGCAGTTTTGGAGGTTCAATTTCAGCACCAAATTCAGCTCCTATGACTCCTAGCAAAACAATAGCAGTGGCTTGTTTCCTTCTTTCTTCATAGGATGTGGAAATTTTTTTCATCGGTGGGACACTTGATAAGCAACCTGAAAGAAACAAAACATAAGACGATAAATTCTTTAAAAATATATTAATAAAAAGAAGAGAGGACTGCAAAAACATTACAGACTTCATTTAGGAAAGAATAGTCTTGAAGTAGTGGGTGAAAGGTTTCCTGAAATTACCAAGGCCTTTCCATCTCAGGACACTCCCACCTGTGATCAGGAGGCAGAAGATGAAAGGGGGGAAGGAAAACAGGTTGGAGGAGGGAATCTTTTTTCTGCCGAATTCATTTTAATAACTAGTTATTTACTTTTTTTTTTTTTTTTTTTAAAGATTTATTTATTTATTCATACAGAACTGGGGTACAGGCCAGAGGCTCAGGGGCGGTGAGAGGCTTCACCAGAGACAGAGTGGGGAGCAGAACAGGCAGATCTACGAAGTACACTGCTGAGGGGAGCAGCGGGCGGGCCAGGAGAGGTCTGGCTCGCCATGTGGTCTCCTCCGGGGCAGGCGGGGATCGAACTCATGCGGAAGTGGCTTCAGATTCTCAGTGCTGCGCTTTAACCCGCTGCGCCACCAGGGAGGGCCTAGTTATTTACTTTTATTTTCTATTTCTTCTTGAGTCATTTCTGACAACTGAGAGTTTTAAAATGTCTATGTTATCTAAACTTATAGTTATGCAGTGATATACAGTTTTATAGGATTAAAAATTTTCAATTGTATCGATTGCAACAGATACGTCTAAATATTGTTTACCTGCACCTCTGCTAATATTATTTTTGATGAGTTTTGCTAGAAATGTAATTAATCAGATTTTTTAAAAATATGTTTGACCTTCCTATGTAACTGCTTTCTGGTTCACTAAATTCTGTTATTATCTTTACTATTTCTCCTTCCATTTTCTTCAGACTTTCTATTCCTCTATGTTTTGTCTATTTCTAGGTTGAACACAACTCACTTATTTTCATGATCTGCTATTATGGTCAATGCTTCCAGTGACAAAGTTAATATCCAATTTCTTCTTCTTTAGCAATATCACCTCAATTTTAACTGACAAGTAATGAAGTTATGTCCTTTCCATGTCCCACCAAGGACTGACGAAGTCATATTCTAGCTCCTGGCTTTAAGATTTACTCATGACATAGTTGAAGTCCTTTTTGCTCAAAGGATCCAAATGTCTACTTCTGGAAATGGTTTCAACCCAGTTCATTGCTTATTCCATTACTTGTCCACAGAGATATCTATCTTTCTGAGCCTAGTTATGTCTCTTTGGTTTTCTATTTGTTTGTTTTATCCATTGTAGCTACATGTTAGATACAGAGGGATTTGAAAAGTGAACTTCTGGGGCCATCTTGATTGAAGGTCAGCTTTCTGTTCTTTCTAATATTAATCCATCCAGCTTTTCTGGCCTCTTTCAGTACTTTGCTCTATACATTAATTAAATCAATAGTACAAAGGGCCTTCAGAGCTCAGTATGCCAACCAAGAAATTAGCATCTGGGACTTCTGAATACGCTAATGCTTTGTGTCTTCATTTTGTTTTTGTTTCAGGTTTCTGCTTTGTCACTACGAGTGGTAAAGAATCACAGAGGAGGAGGCTAAAGGATGCCAAACTGGGAAAGGTCTGCCATGGCAAGTTGAAGAATTTTAACCACAGTTAACGGAAAGTCATGTATAATGGAATAACAGTGTATAAGGTGGCAACAGTAGGTTCGTTCACTAGTAGAAAGATCATGATAGCGGCAGTAACACAGAGAATTGGGAGTAAAATAAAACTGGTATCTAATAGAACAACAACAAAAGGAAAAAAAAGTATGCAATGACCAAGGTGGAAAATATTAAGTACCAGTGAGGTGGAAGGTCTTTCATTCCATCAGTTACTCGGTTATCAAACACTTTAAAACCAATTTATTTTGGCTGTGCTGAAAGGCAGATTAGGATATGGACAAGAAAAGCTAGTTGAGTCAAAGAAATGGAAATGACAGGTTTGCACAAAGAATGTGAGAAGTGGAAAGGAATATTTGGATAAGAGAGTGGCATTAAACTACTTGAGGAAAAATGGGAGGCTGGTTCTTGTGGCATTGCTGTCCCCAAAAGAGTCTGAGAGATTTTCTTCATACGCCCAGAATAAGTCACTTCCATAAATGTCACTTTGATATGGGAACTAAAGGTCAATGAATTCTCTGTGAGCCCCAGGAAGTCTATTATCATTATTTTAAATATATAGATTATTTTAAGTGCAGAGAAGGCCCTAGAGGGTGCGAGGTTTGTCCTTGTTTCAGTCATTTGTCCTTTTCTTAAACAAAGAAGCAAAGCTGTGTCCTCTTTTTTATGACTAGAAGAAGATAGTAGTGTTGGTGGGGAAGGAGGTGTCTAATTCAGGTACAGGCTATCAGCGAATTCATCCTCCCTGAAAATCTCACCTGGAGCTCTTAAGTAACAGGATGAAGCCACCTCTCCCAGGTCATGTGAAACTCCACCCCCTCTTTTTGGCCCCCCAGTCTCTTAGCTCAGGATATCCAGCCCTAACCTATCCCTGCTTAATTTTCTAATTTATGGCCATATAAATTCTCCATCCCTGTTATTAAATTTTGGTCTTTCTCCTACTAATCTGTCTGATGTGAATTTGTTATTAGTCCACCCTCAGAAGAATCCGGATGGGATGAAGAAGTTTTTCTGGACACCCTAACATCTAGAAAAACTAAGATGGTAACATGACAGAATATCAATAGTTACTGCTTATTTGGATTCCTAGAGCAGTTTGGGGTAACCTAATGCAACAACAGCAATGGTGGTATTGCTGTGTTGTTAGTTTCTTACTTTTTTAAACACAACTTTTAAAAAAAGGTTCTGTTGATTTTCTGCTAGTTTTCAAGCAGTGCATAGAAAGACAAAATTTAAAATGAGACTACAGAGAATAGATGAATAGATTCTTATTTTAAAATACTCGAATTTTTTTCATAATATTTTGTTTATTACTTGTTTTCCTAATAGCTAAATTTTGTAGAGCATTACTTCAATTTATGCAGGTACTTCATATTGTTGTTTCTCTGCTATTATAAAATTATCTTCTATCTTCCACTATCATGCCAAGTCATATTTTGAGAATTAACATTTCTTATAAAAATCCTCCATCAAAATGTTTAAAAGTATTTAAGTAATATTAAGCAATAATTCTAACCTGACACCTCAGCATTCATTTCTCTCTTCATGTATTTTTCTTCTAAATTTTAAAGAGTATTGGCTTTCACATGTTATTACAGATTCAAAATAGGACACTGATCTGTAATGGTTATAGTAACTACAGTAGGAAAAACATCCTAAAAGCTAAACCAGACTAAGAAGAAGAAGAAAAAAAAAAATCAATAATCACTGCCTCTGTGTTTAGAAGGATGAAAATGGACCCGAATTCTCGCCAGAGTGATATTTAACAGTTTGATAATCTATATCTCAGCACATCCTTAAAACCAACTTCAGTTATGTACAAGAACAGACACAGGGACTAAGAGCTATGTGACTACATCTAGATTTGGTAGCATATATTTTCCTCTTTACATAGTCTTCTTGGAAACAGGAAGCAAATCACGCTCCCCTCCCCCCCAAGCCTCAGCAAGAGCCTCTCCATAACAATAGTTCAAAGGAAAGCTCTCTTCTGCAGTTGCACTCATTGTTCTGTCAGCTGACCTCTGCAGAAGGGAATTGCTAACCGCTGCCCGGCTCCTTAGCTGACAAATGAATGATCGCAGCTCCATCTATTTTCACTATGGCCTGCCTCTACCCCAGGTGCTCAGACAGAGAGCCCGGTGTGACATCTTAGATCAAGATGAATTGGCGCAAACTCCTGATCCAAGATTGTTTTATACCATTTAATTTAGTTTCTTCCCCTGCTTGGATGAGCACAGCTCTGGTTATGGATTTCTATTCTAATGTACTGAAGCAGGCCCTGAAGGAAACCAATGAAGCAGCTGCTAGAGCAAGGGGCTGCAGGGATACTGATCAATAGACAAGGCGCTGACCCCAGCCGTTCAGCGTCTGCAACGGCCACTGCTTCCAAGCGGGAGGGGGCAGGAGGCACATGGAGGTTGCCCCCAGTAGGAGAGGAAACAACAGGGGCATTGGGAGAGCCCCACCTCCGCCCTCTGGTCCCCCACCTTCTCCATGTTCCTTTTGTTGAATTACCTCACTCTTGTCTTCACTCCAGCTCCTTGGGAAGGAGCTAAGACTTTGGGGGAGTTCTAATAACATCCTTTAAAACAGCCGTTTGTAGATTTTTCTCCCCCTTAAGCTAAGAGAAGGAATTTTAACAGGTGCCTTTGGCTAAGTGGTCAAAATAGGAAATCTTAATTAGCTGTCCAGCCCATCACTTGGAATCAGTTCAAGTTTGGCATGGGTGCATGCTCTTGAGAACACTGTTCAACTGGCTCTGAACACTTCTGATGGTGAAATTCTATGGGGAGGAATTTTTATCAGTACAGAGATCTGAAAAGATGAGAGTTCTTTGTTAACAAGGTAAGAGAGCAAGAAAGGGCTCCCCCCCCCCCCCCAAAGAGAAACTAATGAATGTTTACGGCACACTCCCATCCCTCTTACTCTGCTAACAGAGCAACATCAGATTCTTGAATACTTCAGATTTGGAACCATTCAGAACCATGGGCGTTACCTGCACTGAATTTCACTACATCATTTCAAGTTTTACCAGATTTTTCAATATTGTATCATCAAGCAACTGTAAAAACATTCTGATATGCAGTCCTACACGAAGAATCTAGTGTTTGAAAACAGTGTTTTCCACATCAAATCACAGTCATAAATATCTTTTGTGTAAATATCACAAAATATCTGCATTGACTGCAGTGCTTACCTATTAAAAAATAGCATAACCTGACACCCAAATGGGAGATTTTGAGTTATTAAAAGTAAAAGAATTCTGTAAAAGTGGACCTTTCTACAGTCCCATTTGTCTCATGAAAATTTGGTATTTTTTCAGAGACGCGCCTCCATTTAATCATGCTAAAGGTGACATGGAGATCCATTTTCTTGACAGG